AAGGCACTGACGACGGGGGTTTTGATTCCGGCGAGGATTGTTCTGAGGATGACCACACTGAGGGACAAATCAGATGTAGGTCATTCATTCCATCCTTTACAAGTTTTCATATTTAGCTGATGCATTTCCCTACTGATTCTGATAGGCTTGCCCGTGGGGATAAGACTTCTCCAGAGGAATATGAATACTCCAGTGATGGAGAATCCGAGGTAGAACCAGCTCAAGAAGACCACGATACTCTCAGCGACACAGACATCGATAACGCTAGTGATGAAGGCGACAAGGATCGATACACGAGCACCTCCTGCAAGGAAACTTTAGCCAAAGTAAGCCATATTCCTCATGTCTTGTACACGAGATGGTGCCATTACTAATGTTTGCTTTGCCAAAGTTTTGGGCAATTGCAAAGAAGTTGAGGTATTCACCGAATTCAAAAGCCGAGTTTGTCGAAACCTGTCGGGACAAAGAGTGTGCTACCCCACACATGGTCGAACGAGACGTACGTACTCAATGGAATTCAACGGCTGCTCAACTGAGAAGTGTCATCAGATGTGAGGCTGCAATGTGAGTTGATTCCTTTGAATTTTCATTTGTAATCAATCAGAAATAATAATCTAACCAAACAATTTAATTTCAATTTGAAGTCTGGAGTGGCAGCGTCATAAAAGGCATGGTATGAAACGCAAGTACTTTGTGGACCAGAACGACTTTGACTTGGCGCGCGATCTGGTTGAAGTACTTGACTTATTCCATGAAATAACGTTGCAAATCTCTACGGCCGGGTCGACTCAAATATCAAATGTTGTTGTCTTCATCGATCAAATCACTGATCATCTGTCAACTGCAATTATCAACCCCGATTATCCTCCAGCATTGAGGAATGCCTGCCGATCTGGATTGAAGATTACCAACAAGTATTATAGCCTGACCGATGCCTCCCCTCTTTACCGAATTGCAATATTTAGGTCATTTACACTATAAGTATAATGTTACTTCTCTTGCTCACAGCTGATTTTATTTTCCTCAGTGCTTCACCCATCCTTTAGGGATGAGTAATTCAAATTGGCCAACTGGGAGCCGGAATGGATCGCCGAGGCCATACGACTTGCGCGGGAGATGTGGATCACTCATTACAAGCCGCGAAGTGCAAACACTCCCACTGCTGCACCCAAACCAGGCTCCAAAGTAAGTTCTCTGGTTGTATTACAATAGTGTCAGTGTGAGCATAATCAGACCAAGGGGATCATCAATGTCACAGTCAAGGACGTCAATGCTTGCTGGTCTGGGAAACGCAGCGGCTGCGCGGGGGAGCCTAAGCTCATCTGACCCACTCGATGTGTGGCTTGCCGGTGGACTTATCCTCGAAGATGGCAATCCGGTGAATCCTTTGCAGTGGTGGATACAGCAGAAGCGCTCCGGAAACACACATGGGGGCCTGTTGCACATGGCACTGGATGTCTTAAGTTGTCTTGGTGAGTGGGCCAAATTACAAATTTGATATATTTGCATGCCTAATCTGAATCAAATCACATCTCATATTTCTAGCAACATCCGTTGATGTCGAGCGAGCATTCAGTTTTGGACGCGACTATGTGACATTGAAGAGGCACAGGCTTGCTGCTAAATCTTTAAGCAGGGGGATGACTGTTGCTTTCTATTCAAAGAACAAGATGATTCCAGAGGGTATTTTGGCTCGGTGGAAACATGGAATCAATGAAGATAACAAGATGCAGAAGAAGGGAAAGAGAAAAGTTATAGTAGTTGATGAAGATTGATTTTGTGGGTGTGCTTGGGACTGCAAAGATTTTTATTTAGTATAAAATTTATAAATTGCAAAGAAAAAAAAAAAAAACAGCTTTTTTTATGAATTGAAAAGAAAAAAAATGTGATACTTTTTTATTTATTGAAGAGAAAAAATGTGATAATTTTTTATTTATTGAAATAAACAAAAAAGTGAATCTTTCTTACTTATTTAGTATAAAATGAAAGAAAAACAATGCTCAACAGCATTTTTGGTGTGTCAAACTGCATCTTTGGTGCAAAGTTCCCTTCTGAGAGAGGGTGTGTTTGAAATTGAGACAGGATAAACTCTTATTTAGTATAAATTGAAAAAAAAAAACTAAAAAAATGTTAAATTGCAATTTTGGAGTAATATACTGCATTTTTGGCGCCAGGTACCCGCGGTACCTGCCACCGGTACCGCCGGTACCTGCCAACAGGCCGCGGGTGCGGTACCTGGTGTCTATTTTGGGTAAAAACGTAGGCGGTACCCGGGTCCCACGGGCCATCTTTACCCTGTAGGACCCAGGCCTGGGTCCTACAGGGATCTTCAAGGGCATCGGCCAAGGTTTGAACCTTGGCCAATGGCCGTCAGTGTGACATGTACTCTGTGGCTGACAAGGACCCAGGCCTGGGTCCTACAGGGATCTTCAAGGCCATCGGCCAAGGTTTGAACCTTGACCGATGGCCGTCAGGGCTCAAACAAAGGGAATCCCTGTAGGACCCAGGCCTGGGTCCTTGTCAGCCACAGAGTACATGTCACAGTACCTTTCATGTACCAAGTAACTGCAACACCTGTACTTATGTACATAAGTACTCATCCATAATGTTGATTACCTTTACCTCTTGTTATCTTATCATTATTATTAACTTATCTTATTTATCTTACAGTTATCTTATCTGTTAATTACTTATCTATTAAATACATACCTGTGTTCTACATAAGTAATTATCACTTACCTTTCACTCCCTTGTCCGTGAAATACCTGTACCACAAGTTATCCCTCTACTACAGTATTTTCACGGTCAAATATTATTACAAATAAATATGTACATGTACTAAATAGTAAGTATTAAGTGTCAATAGAATTAATACATTCAATACATGCACTGATCACAATTATGACTACATTATTAGACTGTTTACACTACTAGGTTTTTTTCCTGAGCCTTGAAAGTCTACCATTCCTACGGCGTGAGCGGATCTAGTCTCATTTACCCATCATCTCGAGGGATTAGTACCTGGTCGAAGTCTAATACACCTGGTCGAAGTCTAAAAATAGAGTTATCTCACGTGTACATAAGGTTCTGCAGGCCGTATTACACAGTTACAACTCAATACACCCCGGATTTGCCAGGATCTGCAAGGATCTACATACATACAGATCTTCCGTACTACCACTCCCGCCTAGTACATCACCCCTCCTACTAAAATCGTCGAAAGTGATCTTTCCTGATCTTTGAGAGAGTGTAGCTCCTTCATTATTTGAGCTACATCGACAAACAAGATACAGAACTCATCGCCTTTATAAGACGTATCCAGCGCCGCCTTCCTTTCCATCCTCACTCAACTCCTTCACCCAGTTTCAGTAGCAAACACCGACCTCTCAAGTTTTCGACCGGAAGTACCTTGAAATATTTCATTCTGAAAAGTTAAGCGTGCTCCTTAGCTTCTGAACTTATCTCTCGAACAAAAAATTTCTGAAAAAGCTCAAAAATTGGTTGTGTAACAGTGTCCGCCGTCAACAGCACCCTTAGCGCTAATATCCAAAACTTGGAAGTACACGACAAAAACACTGCGCCAAGAGACAATAGAGCCCAATCTCCTCAAACAACTAATAGAGAAGCCTCAGTAGTTGCCTCTGATAAATCCTCAGGTAAATTTAACACCTCTACATATTTTTTGTTATCAATTTCCACCGGGTTAAATTTTCCTACTAAGACCTGTTTTCTTTTACCATGTCTCCACCTTCTCTTAGACTTAGAGGTTATAATGGAAGGACCAGAGACGCTCCACCATCCCAGAGAGGATTTCCACCAGCGTCAGTTTTACCAAAGAATAAGGATAAAATAATTTACGCGTCGAAAAAGAAACTAATATCTCCTACTAACAGTGCCCAAGGAGGAGAAATTCGAGCGCTATTACTACAGGATGAAGACCAACAAGGAATGGCTGAAGGATGTGCGCAACCGCAGCAGTTACTCGGCCATCAGAGCTCATCTAAAGTATTGCCGGGAGGATTTCCAAGCGATGATAGATTTAAGAGGAATGACGACGACCCTCAAAAGAACCAAGGGTTGGAACCCATTAAACGTGTCGGCGGAGAGTCTCCTTCAACCACGAGAAGCGCCGGACCTTCAAGAAGGATCAATGAGACCCCTGAGTCGCAGAGGGAGGAATACCCATTCAAGACACCCAAGGAATACGGGGAGGAACACTCAATGGCGCAGCCAAATCTACGAAGAAATGGTACACCTTGGGAGATCTCTTCAAGGGACTTATCAACACCTGGAGAAAGGCAAAATCAACCGCCAACACAGCTTCATGGAAGAAGAGCCTTAAATACTTCCCCTACACCTGCGCGTGAAAAAACTCCTGATAGTTCTGATAGTGATTCTACTAGTAGGAAATCAAAATTATTGTCTAGTGATTACTCTACGCCTCAAGTCCCCCATGAACATATCCCAATAGAAATTTCTTTACGCAGAGCTGTTAACATGTTTACTGAGAATATGAATTTTTTAGTACAACATACACTAAGAAACAACAGAAAAATTACTACTGATATGAAGAAATTATGCCGTAAAATTGAAGGCAGCTGGGATAAAAGAGCTGATGAAGAAGACAATAATTTTACTTACATCAGAGATAAAGTTATGATTATGGAAACTGGCCTTGAATTATTACATAAAGAAATGCCAGAAATGCTTGAGAAATTAGGAGATCAAACCACTCGAGTAATAACCAGAGTAGAAGAAAAATGGGAAGATATACAAAATAATAACAAAGAAATGCTCCATAAATTCAATACTATGGAACAATCTTTCCAGAAACTACAAAAAGACACGCTTGAAAAAATTAATTCACAATATAAAAGCTTTGAAGATGTTGTAAACAGGATAGAATTAAATAATTTAAATAATAATAAAAATAATTCCGCCTGCATCATCAAATTAGAAAATAAAATTGAAGAATTAATTAAAATTAACCAAGAACCTAACAGTTGCCAGAATTTAACATCTCAACATACTGTTCACGGCAAAGGAAAGGACATACCACCTCATGTAAATTCATCAATTACCATACCAGATAAAATAAGTACAAATCCTTTCTTTAATTTATCAAACACGCAATCCAGTAATATGAATTTCAGTGACCCTAAAATTAACACCCCAGTTAGATCAATTAACACTGAAGTACACCATTCACACGTAACTGATGACCAGGACAAAACAATTCAAAAATTAATTTTATCAGGAATGCCAAAAGTTAATGAATGGAGTACCTTTTCAGGGAAGGGAGAGTATGATCACTATAAATTCATAGAATGGATTGATAATCTTAAAGAAGATACCCAAGCACCAGATCCACTTATATGTTCTAAATTGAATTCAATTTTAACTGGAGCAGCTAACACATGGTATAATCATTGATAAAATACCTGATGCTGATAAAATTCTCAGACAATACAGAGCTGATAAAAGAAAATAACATTAATTTATTTCTTGGATCAGCCTTTTTTAGAGAGAGGAAGTGTCAGCCACAGAGTACATGTCACAGTACCTTTCATGTACCAAGTAACTGCAACACCTGTACTTATGTACATAAGTACTCATCCATAATGTTGATTACCTTTACCTCTTGTTATCTTATCATTATTATTAACTTATCTTATTTATCTTACAGTTATCTTATCTGTTAATTACTTATCTATTAAATACATACCTGTGTTCTACATAAGTAATTATCACTTACCTTTCACTCCCTTGTCCGTGAAATACCTGTACCACAAGTTATCCCTCTACTACAGTATTTTCACGGTCAAATATTATTACAAATAAATATGTACATGTACTAAATAGTAAGTATTAAGTGTCAATAGAATTAATACATTCAATACATGCACTGATCACAATTATGACTACTTATTAGAGGATCTGTTAAGTACACGCATCAGAGCGACTAGTACATTGATCAACTAG